GTAGTTCCTATTTAGAACAAAAGTGCGTGTCGCAAAACGAGCTCAAACATCTAATGCTTCAAAATTGGTCCCATTATAGGGTTTTATCCTTAGAACAACTCAAGAGATGTGCCTTCACAGACCACACACTTTCAAAGAAGAGAGGGAAAGAGCCAACGGTCTGCCTTACCTTGTTGAAACATCCTTAGAACAACTGGGGGAAGAATGTGCTGGTTTTGGTGTAATTTTGTCATTTGTATGTCATGCATCTGTATATATCTTGACTTAAGAGTTAAACATAGGCAGAGTGGCTAGAATACTACCGCACAAAACGCAAAGCAGGATGGAATATCCTAAATCCTAAACAATTTTGGATCTTACTGTTGATTATAACTAGGTGTTAGACATGTCCGATGGACGGGGAAAACATGTACATATAGACATTACAACACAAGCAAAGTAATAAAAATATCACTATTTCTATAGATTTTGTACTTTTATAAAATGTTAATTATAAATTATATAATTATTTCATTGAAAAATATAAAACACAAACATCAACAACACTTTACAAAATGGTAATAATTTATTTAATGCAAAGAGAATTATTTAAAAAATCTAAAAAAAGGGAATATAGAAAAGAAAAAATAATTAACTTTGAATTGAATGATTATATGTCCTGCAATACTTCTCTGTACGAAATTCATGGTCTTAAATTGACGTTACCACATTCATGGCATATTAGGTTCTTGATTCCTTGTCTTGAAGTGACTATTGATAAGGCGACTGATAATTGATCATGGTTAAAAACTGGACATGGCAAATAAAATGATTTGTTAATTTAAAGGTGTTAATCAGACAGCCAAATAAATTTAAATGAAAATTATAAAATAAAGATTTAATGGATGAAAATTTCTACCAAATACAATATAAATCATAATATAGAGAAAATAAAATTATTCATTATTAGATAAATTTTTAGCATAATGTGGAATGTTGAGAAAACAAAAAAAAAAAAGCATTCAACTTCGAATTGAATAATTATATATCTTGCAATAATTTAAATCAAAATCATTAAACTTATTTTTAATGACATTCTATGATAGAATCATTTTTTTCGTTGATTCTAAGGTAGGATCATTTACCCAATATCCCACAATTACTTTATAGTGGGTATCTATTTTTTTTTTTTAATGATATTACAAATTTACCCTATGACCCTATGCATTTCTTAATGATATTGGGGGTGTCTTTTATGTAAGCCTTTACATTTTATTTTCACGTTTTGGTCCAAAATTGTTATATCACGTGAGATGAAATAGTCAATTTTGATTTATCATCTTCATGTAAGAGGTAAAGGACCAAATTCATTCCTTTTACAAAACTAAAGCTGAGGCAGAGGAAGCATTAGTCTAACAAATGTGATCGAACGGGGGTAGTCCAATGGTATTAAATTTAGAATAGTTTTGTTATTTTGAAAGTAAAATCTTATTAATTATTACTTATATTTATCCTCCTGCGAGATTAAAGAATTTAAAAATATTTATTATATTCTCTTATTTGTCTCCAATCCTATCTTTCTTGTTCTTCTTCTTTAATCTTCTCTTTTTGTTCCCGAGGATGAGAGATGCGAGGGATACCTTATGCTTCTCGCGTCTTTTTTGCAAGGATTTTTTTTTAAAATTATTTTAGTTGATTTATTTTGGTTTTATTATTTTGTTTTGTGTATTTTTAAGTCTAAGAAATTAAAAAAATACCACATGGGATTAAATCCTATGTGGCATGAGCTCCATGTCTTTAGTTTTCTTTCTCTGATTTTTGCCTTAGTATAATATATAGACTAGATGCTTGCCCCGGGCAAATGCCCGGGGACGTCCTCCTACCTAATAAATTGATATGTAAATAATCAAAACTGATTAGGAATGAATTTAGTTTTTGATGAAAAGAATTGATTGACCGAAAATTAATTTTTTCGAAAGTCCTAAATAAGTGGAGAAGGAAAGTTCCATTCACTGTCAAATTCAAAATGAACATGGCCATCTGATCTCTTCGTTAATATTGTAAATATAATTTTTGTTTTTAAAAGGGGGTGACACGTGGCAGAATGGTTTATGCAATATGGTGTATTTGGAGCCAAAATATTTTAATAAGAAATTGCCACATCAGCATCTTGTTTTCTGCTTTAATAGGGTAAAAGGGATATGTAAAGTATTTGTAAAGGCTATAGATAAATTTGGATAAACGAAAATCCGAGACTCGTGAAAACACGATTTCCTTAAAACATATTTGCCCTATTCTGTAGTGCTAGAGGATTCGTGAGCATCTGTTTTCCAGGATACAACGAAAACGTAAAGACTACTTAATACAAAGCAACTCTACTAGCGAACGGAAACTTAGAACAAACTGATGAACACTAAAAATACAAAGAAAGGAAGGCTCTTATTGAAATTGGAAGAGAGGGGGAAAAAAAGGTGTGTGGATTATTGAACTAGAAGTCGGAACCTTTGAATTGTTGAAGGTTTGAAACGGTTTTTACCATTTTAGTGCACATTAAATCGTAATTTATTGCCACATTATCCTTCACAATCAAGGCTGAAAATGGTCAAATAACTCTGGCACATCAATTCAAATAAATTTAAAACGGTTTTCCAATTTAAATGAATTTAAACCACTAATTCAAATGACTATTAAACGTCCAGAATTTACTCTACAAAATTAATTTTGACGTTACATATTAACTTCTCTATTTGACTGGGAAAATCTAATATGAACCGGAGCAAAATACAGATTGATCAAGCCCGTGAGAGTTCAGTGTAATATTTGTGTCCGCAAGTCGGATATACACATGGGTTGAACTAATCCGATAGTATAAACTCAAATTTTCAATCTATGAGAAAGCAATTCTCATTCAAAATAATAGCTCACTTCCAACACTTACTTCAGTGTCATTAAATGTTGATCTGTACGTTCTGTTAGATTTTCCACATATGTTTGTTTAGTTTAATCTTTTCTCTCGCATTTTGAACTGGCATTGAGAATTCTACTTCCCTTGGTGCCTAATGGAAAGCTGTACATTGGGAGCTATTCATTGATTCATTCTATGGTCACTTCATGTAGTTTGGCGATTTAATTGTTGAAGATTTTATAACTCTGCGTCCACATTTGTGGTGGTTCAGCTCCAGTCTCTGATGCTCCTCATCAATACATTAGATTCATCCTGTTATTGTTGCTTTCGATCGCCAGAATCCTTTTATTTTATCAGACGAAAAAAAAAGTATATTACGTTATTTTATTTCGTACAGAGATACGTGGCACGCTAGAATTGAATCTAACAAGTTCTCCCTCATTCTAAAAATATAAATGTTGTGGCGAGAAAGGACATGATCAAATTATCAAATTAGATGGCTCTTGTAGAGTTTTGGGTCTTTTATTCTTTTCGTCTGGTCCATTGCACCTCCATTAACACATCCCATTAACTTTTTTTGTTGTGGCCATGTTAATACGTTGCTTAGGGAAGCAACAACATTATATACACACACACACAGAGAGACAGAGACGTTGGAAAGTAGTTGGGAATTGTTGGAAAATACATCATCACGAGATCTCCACGTAACCATTTATTATCGGTACATATCATTCATCTTTGGGGGCCTCTCTCTTAATTTGTGTACTTTACGTATAACCAAATGCTACACTTGCGTCCTATACAGTTAATTCCATTCATCCATTCGTTAAAATGTAAAGCTAATACTAGTATAAATTATTTGTGTCGATTATATAAGTTAAAGCAAGTCACGTTCATTGTCTCTATTATAACTCGAATCATAAAAATACATTTGATTGTGTTACTTAAATTATTCTATGAGCAACTTGTAGCTCATAGCCCTTTTTCTATGGCCTTTTGAGATTTTCAGAATTTCCACATAAATACATGGGCTTGAATCATTCATATCAGCTTTACAGAGATAAGTTGGGTCACATAATTGAAAATGTCCAAGCGTGGGTACGTAACATTATGGCATCAGCCATTATTTTGAGTGAATCAGATTTCACACAACGTCGTCTACAGTTTTCAACCTAAATTTATTGACATTTTCGAATGGTGTCCCACATTTATATAATTATAATTATTATTATTATTCTCAAGAACACTTAATGGAAAAACGTCTCACTGAGATATATTGAACGCTCTAATAATTGAGCCGATGCCTCGTTCCCAATACGGATGCAAAAATTTCAAATAAATTGATTGTTTATTGTCTTTATATGAGAAAACAAATTTGGAGAATCAAATTCGGATAATCAATCACTTATAAGTGAATGGAGTAATTATAATTTTTATATATATATGGGCTATTAACTCTTTAGTGTGTGAGGAAATGAAATCCCAGATGTCACGCATATAGGTTAGGTCGGCCGGTCAAATGGGTAGCGATAACTTGTAAAATCTAACGTGTAAGATAACCCCATCCCCAGTGTCATCAACCGCATAGATTTATTCCTGCTTTCTCCCTTATACCCCGCTGGAAATTATTGAGCTCTATTTTAAAAATATAAAATCTATCCAAATACTTTCTCAAAGGGAACACTTGCGAAGGAATACAGTTGAATTGAAATCTATATTCTGAGACTTTGGTGAAAATTTCGATAATCAGCTTGGTCGTAAGGATATGTGATCCCAATTCCCTATGAAAATCTCATAGGAAACAAAAGATTTCATTTAAATTATACTTTATCTGTTTTAAAATAATATTTTAGTTTGGACTTTTATTTTTAAGTTTACTAAATGTGAAATTCAACGATTATTTCGAAACGAAATCGAAATAAACAAAAGAAGTAGTATCAAATAGAATAATAGATGGACACACCTTAAGATATAAAATTACTCTGTTATGTGTTCTTTACATCACTAAATATTTTGAGTAATAATAGTCTTGAAGTACCAAAAACTTCTGGTTTACTCTGTTCCAAATCCGGTAACATCACCGTCAAAGTCCAGGAATCAGTCATAAAAAAAGAGCAGTAGAGTGACTTCACATATCAACATACCATGGACAGTAAATTCAATCAATAATACTATTGTACAAACAAATAATTTACTGAAGGTAAAAAAAAATGAAATTCACCCAAAAGTTGAGCGAGATTGTCTTCCATCTTCCTTCCTAGTCTCCTTTAAGTCAGCAGAAGCCAAGGTGGTGGTTGCTAATTAGCTGTCTATACATTGGTACTATACTACAATCTGAAAAATTGAAGCCGTAAGCAATCACTTTCTTTGAAGAAGGCATGCAAAAGAGGAAGGATTGAACCTACTTTATTGATAAGGGTGGTACTATGACTATTAACCAGACTTGACCTCCTCCCTCCTAAATATAGTACATTTTCTTTTCTTTATTTATTTTTATTTTTTTGGGGGGTTATTTTTCTGGTTCCAAAAAACTAAAAGAAACCAAGGAATGGAAAAAGGATATGGGAAACATCGAAAAAATTTTATGGGTTGCAGAAAGTGAACATCCTATTGTCCAACACAGGTGGTCCACATCAACATCCCACGATTTTTATTGAAGGAAATTACCCAAATATCACACACTCGAAAAGATACTTTTTTGTTCTTTCTTTCTCTCACAGTGCCAAATTCCAAAAAATCCAAAGTAAAGGCGCACAATCTCAACTCAATTTTAATTCACTCCTCCTTAGCCGGACAGCACCAAATAACCCAAATTTCCCATGAGCAATGCAAAATTTTCGCACCACTAGACGACTCCACTCTAACTCTACTACTACTACTGCTACTACTGCTACTACTACTACTACTTGGTAAAGAGGACAAGATCAAAAAGCCTATGCCAATTCAATTCATACCAATTTATTAAAGTCAGCATTTTAATGTAAAATTTCAACCAATTAGCAAGTCTCGCATTAGACATCATGCAATAGACATTTTCAACACTTGCCAAATCATACTCACTTCCAATTCATTGGTTTCTCGTGAGCATAAAAAAACCTCCATCCCAAATTCCCAACTGCTTCCAAGAGTGTTCCAATTTCCAAACACAAATTTCGCCTTAAATTTGAGCAAAAACTACAATTTAACCCAAGAAAAGGAACAAGAGAGATAATAAAGTAAGAGTTTGACCAAAAGATACATTAGAGTTTTGACTTAATCAGTTACTAGTACTACTACCAAACTGCATTGGATTTGCAGTGAACCTACCGCACCTAACCGTCCCTGAAAAAGAATGTACACTAATAATTCCGTTCAAATCTTCTTGCTTCCTCCCTCTTCATCTGCACTAAAACTAAGACCATTAAGGACTCTTCAGTACTAATACTGCTAATTCTAATTTCTCCTACCTTAGATCAAATTTTTAAATTTAGTTTTTCAAAAACTCTGGACCGGTGGGCCAAACCCGGTTTCCACCTCCTTCTTCCGCCTCATTTCCAAAACTTTCCGGTGATTATTAGAGTGCAACTCACTGGAGAATGTCGGGCTGCAAGCGGGTCGATATTCCGGCAAGAGCCGACCCGACTTAAAACGAACCCCACACGCGTTACAGAGCGTCTTGGCACCAAGCGGTCCGGCCCTCCACTGTGGAGTCTTCTGAACGCCGCAGTGGCTGCAACGCCTCGTCTGCTGAGCCAAACCGCCGCCGGCGTCCGCAACGGCCGGCTTTTTCTTTGGCTTTTTCGCCACGCGCCTTCCGACGAAGGACTCTACGGTTTGTGTTTGGTACTGACCTGAGCTTGAGGAATAAAGGAGCCAGGACACCGGCGAAGAAGACGACGTCGTAGTGGAGGAAGAGGACGTCGAAGACGAAGGCGACTCGGAGAATGAGGGTGACCCGAGTGACCAAACCCGAACGCCAGTCCTGGCACGCTTAGTCCTGGCCTTGGTTTGAACAGGGGTTGGAATGAAGGTGGGCTTAACCTCAACCATGACCATTTCCGGCTCCGACCGGGCCTTCAAAGCTTCCGACGGGAACTTAGAAACCGGGCAAGTCAGCGAGTACTGGGTAAAGGAATCATCCACAAAATGAGATAACCATTCTAAGCTCTCCACATCATCCGCCTGCAAATACGCGAAAAAGTTTTCAGTTTTATATCTTTTCCCCCCCGGAAAGAACGGTTTTTTATTTCATTCCTATGTTTTTCCAACTGTAACAGTTTTATTTTTTCAATTAAACTTAAACATAATAAAAATCAGAAGAACTTTACCGGAACTGGAAGTCCGTTGACCGGAAGAGACTCAAATTCCTCTTTAGCGGACGAACCAACATTAGAATCAGCGGCGGAGGCGGCCGTCTTGGTGGCACAGCAGTCGTTTTCCGACAAAACGCCTTGTTTATGCTCTTCGGAATCCTCAATTAAGGAGGCGTTAGAAAAGTCGAGGAGGTCGTCCACGAAGGAGTCGTTCTCCACAACGGCTGAACTTTGACCATTATTATTCCCCACCAACAACAATTCGTCTGAAAAACCAAAGCTTGCGTCAGTATCTTTCACCACTGCCGCCGCCGGCGCAACTGAAACGTCAAGAGCTCCCTCCACGCCTTCCATTTGCGCTTGAACAACAACCTACACAGCAAACAAATTTAAAAGTCGTTTCTTTTTGTTTCTGAAACATTAATTAAAAGGGAGTTGTTTAATTAGAAGAAGGAAGAAGAAAATGGAGAAGTACCTGAAGAGGAGGGGGAGTGGGAGAAAGGGTAGGATGAGGGCAAGAAGGATGAGGAGATAGGGAAGTTGGGGTAAAAGGGTTGGGAGGGAAGAGAAAAGGGTGGTGGTGAGTTTGGTAAAGCATTGAATTGAAGACACTCAGTGATTTGTGTTTTGTGTGGAAAAATTAAAGGAGAGGCTTAAAAGTAAAGTCCCCCACAGTCCAGAAATTATACCGTATCACAATGTGTTTATTATTATTGTATTTAAACAGAAGTCAGATTTTCATTTTACTTTTTCTTTTCTTTTACTTTATTTTAAATTTAATTAATTAATTAATTACGAAGTAGTATATTTATAAATAATCTTTGCTTTTCCTCTTTGTTTTTGGGAGGGGTTTGGGGGTTTGGTTTCCCGCCCTCTGTGAAAATACAGTAAATTTGCCGGTTTCAGACTTCAACTCGGATTCTGTTTTTGGGCTTACTACTACTTCGATATCTGTACTTTCCCCCACTGGGGGTGTTTTGGCGTATCTAATAGGGAATTTTGGATGGAGCAATTCTTTTTCCATTTTATCGTTTGCGATTTTTTAAGTGCAGTTTTTTTTTTTTTTCTTTCTGATGGGGATAATGCCGGTCATTATTAAAGTCAAATAAATAAATATTTTTGAAAAATTTGAACGGAAGTTCTACTTCCACCATTTGGACGTGCGGGAGGTTTTTAAGGCAATTCGACGACCCCAACTTACATAGTTGACTCTGTGTTATAAAATTCCTTTTTCGCAAATTAAATTGACCATTATGTAACTCCTCTATATGTTAGTAAGGATGTCAATTTGGGATATATCGTATTAAAAACATTAGATATATTTTTATATGCTTTGTGTGATGTTTCAGGATATAAACATTACAGTAATGTAAAACATATGGTAGTTTGATTATGTTACAAATTGGCCATGATCAGAATAAGGCAGTTTTTAATTACCAATTAATTACTCGTCAAAAGTTTATATCTCTGTCTATCAATGTTCAAATTTAGGCTCTAATAAAAATGATTCATCTTGGTCACTTAGTAATAAGTTTTATTTTGTATTTTCAAAAAACAAAATGTAGTAATTGTATTACCATGTTTCACATGCAAAGTACATAAGCTACGGTCTTGCTAGTGAAAAAAAAAATAAAAAATAAAAAACGGACCGCCCTTCATGCACTATGTTTATAGTGGGATTGAGGCAATGGGCAAATGGCAAATGGACGAATTTCGGATACGTATTAAAAGAGTTAAATAAATGTAAATTTGAATCAGATTGAAGGAGAACTTAATGAACAGGTTTCAAAGTTCAAACGAAATGGCAGTGTAAATTTGTAATGAACACAGTAAACTGCAGGCGCATTATTCAGTAAGAATGCGCTTGTTCACATGTAGTCATTTGTTTTTCTTCATGGATTTTTATTTTATTTTTTTTATTTTTTGCTTGTTTTCCTTTCCACGATGATAAAATTAACACTAGTTTTTAAAAGTTGTGGCCTGCTCGTCAGTGTTGAAAGTAAAATGCGTTTATAATAGTTAAACCAAGTCAATTACTTAAAAGGACGTTATATGTACTTGCAAATTGTGACAAGCTTAAATTAATCACAAAACAACAAATATTCGTAGAAGACTGGAACATTAGAATGAGATCATCTCAGCAAATATTCAGGCTCTGTTTGTACCATCTCATATCTAAAAATTAGTTCACTTTAATGTATCATTCTTTAGTTTAACAAAATCATATATTCTTGTGAGAGAATGAGTATTTAGTGAGGCTTGAAACATATACATAAATTATTGAAATCTGATGTAATCTGTAACGAAATGGCTATAGTATAATCAGAATGTGTTTTTTGAAATTCCGACATTTTGTTTGCTTTTTTTTAAAGACATTTTTATTTATTTTTTACTAATAATAACTCAATTTTGGACCGGCCTAATCTGTTAATTAGAATGAAGTTCGTAAGTTCACGAACTTGACAGACAAATATTTGAAGCGTAGAAGGAGATTAATTTCTTAAATCAATCACTTATCCGCTATATTTGTTTTCTCACTCAAACAAAATCCAACACTTGAATTTCGAAACAAAATGGCGGCAAACACTAAGGCATTTGGATTTTTATTGTTCAGAACTCCTCATTTTACTATTTTAGTGTTCAATTATCCAAATCATTTTGAACCGAAAAAAAAGTACTAAGAATTATCCAAATCATTCGTTGACATTCTCAAGCCAAAATCCCAAAGAAAGATGAAGGAACAAATCAACAACGTGATTTGATCCCTCCCCGACAATTGGGTACAAGTTAAATTGATTCGTGCTATTGCTAACGTTAAACGTGTTTAAGTCATTAGTTTTTACCGATAAGACATGATCATTACATAAACATTAATGTAAAGTTTTTATTCAAAAAGCTACAATAAAAGACATGCTTGCGGTTTGAACAAAACATTGGGCAAATCAAACAAAATAACTGATGAATCTTCGTTTAGTTGAAAAATAAAAATTAATTTGTGCAATTTATTTTTTCGTTTTGCCAAATGGCACTTTTACGTTTGACATTTTTTTTTCCCTCTATCTGAATTGCCTACCGCATTGAGCGCCGCTCAAATTGGCCATCTTCTTACTTTCCCGCTATTGCCTTTTCTAATTTTTTAAACCAATCACCATCGCTTAACAAAGGAAAAGAAGCAATAATTGTTTTTTCTTTTCTTCACCCTTTTAGCTATTATTACCATTAAGAACAAAATCTCAACAATTTCGTATAGTCATGTTTTAGTTTATTGTGATATCAAGTCCTAAGTTTTACTTAATCATAGTCGACATTGTTATGTTCCGCAACTGTTATTTTACTTTTTTTGTTGGTGTAGTAAATATGACTATGATTTTAAGACAACATCTATACCATTATGTTAACATTATTCTACTTGTAAAACCATTAAAAGAAATAAAAATAAAAAATAAAATCTTGAACTTTATCTGAAATGGTTGTTTACGGATTTTTTTTCAAAATATCCAAAAGTCACGAGAGAGACTTCGGATTTGCAGAAAGATAAAAAGTTATTCCAAGTAATAGTCTCATACTGAAACAAGATTCCTTCAAAATGGCATCGAAATTTTAAGGGATGTTACGGGAGAATTCGGATTAATTGCAGAAAGTAATAAATTGATTTCTAGTACAGTGTATCTGTTTTTTTATTTTGAAGAAAAAGAAACAAAAGATCAAGTCATCAACAAATACTTTATTCTGGGGGATCATCCCCGGGTGCAACGTTCTCAATTTTCCAATTACACTTTTATAGATAGATTCTGAATCCACTTTGCCCAGATTCAAAGTTTGATGCCAATGCGACAAATAATGCACTTTAATTAAAAGTTTATCAATCTATGTAATGAAAGAGTAAAGAAACGAGACAATTAATTTTAATTTTTTTTAAAAAAAATATACTTGTATTAAGATTACTGCAAACAGTCCAGCACTAATTGAGAGACAAAGTTCGGAAGTGAATTCCAAACTGTAAGAAGAGTAAAATTGAAAAGGATGGCAACTTATTCCTTTACCCAATACATCCCTTTTACCCTATTAAAGCAGAAGATATGAAGCTAATATGGCGACTACGTATGAATCTGTTTTGACTCCAATGCACCATATTTTAGATTTTTAAAGTCTTTCTGCAACGTGTAAGTCTCTTTTAATTAGAAGTTATATAATTTTTTTTTAAAAAAAAACACATGTTTTAGATGTGGCCCGAACCCAATGAAAGGAATTCTACAAATAAGGATCAGTTACATTTCAAACGAATGGATGTATTAATTCAAATTCAAATGTCCAATCGTACAGTCAATAGAATTTTTCTTCTCCATTTCTTTAGCAATATTTTTTCCTTAATTATGGATATTCCCTTTTCCACTTCGTCACGATCTGTTTCAAAAAATTTCATCGTAAATTCATCTTACAAAATAGCACAATTATCACAAACGAGTACACCACAAATCAAGGATTTCAAAATTGAAATAATTAACACAAGCCACTATGCCACAAATCAAGGAGTTCAATAAGGAAATAAATTTCAGAAAACCAAACTATCAAGCATAACAACGTGACTGTATTCAGTTTGCATATCAAAATATTTTTCAAAGAACATATTATTCCAACATTATCTTCCAAATCACAAAATTGAATGAAGATCAACTCAAAAAGATAAATCTTATCACAAGATATAGTAATTCAATTAGATTTTAATAAAATAGTAATATAGAAGGGCCGTCCGGGCAAATTGAATGAAGATCAACTCAAAAAGATACGTCTTATCACAAAATATAATAATTCAATTAGTTTTTAATAAAATAGTAATTTAGATGCCCAGGCCAAGCATCTAATTATCAAATTACAACAACATCAACAAAAATGGATGTCTTTCACTGATTATTTATAGACACTAACTTTTAGTAATTCCCAAACTTCAAATGTAATCTATATCATAAGTTTGTAAATTATATCCTTATTAATAAAAATCAAAATTTTGCAAGTGTTAAGTAACGACATTGTGAGGAAATTCACATGTGGTGAAGATAAAACGGGATATTTAAACAAGTATTTCAAAATCGGCATGTTCGTAACGAGGTTTTAGTATGTGATTCTGGCATCCAAAGGCGAATAACAACAGAAAGAACCAAAAGATGTCCGGGCAGAAAGAAGGGGAGGAGGAAGCAACGTGAAATTTTGTATGTAACGATTAGGTCTGGAAATAGAAGAAATGTGAAGGGGGGGAGTGTCATCATGACGGTCATCGTTACGAAAGAAACAAATAGAGATATGAGTACAGTAGGCATGGCAAAAATACTGGCATGCCTTCGAAGCAATGCCTTGGCTGAGAGAAAAATAAGTACAGAAATACGGACGACCCAAAAACTAGAGCCCTCCACAGGGGGTCCCCTGGAGCCAGCTTTTTGTCGCCATCCTTCACCGGCTTCTCAGATTGAAATGATTCTTTCCTCTCTCTCTCTCTCTCTCTCTCTCCATCTTCTTCCATCCCACACTTTCTCTCCTCTGCTTTTGAAGTCCCAATTTATATGTATAATATAGTTTACATCATCATAGATTGGTCTTCACTGATTTCTCATAAACAAAGAAAAGGCTGAATATTTGGTGAAATCCTGTTCATCATTGTGTTTTTCATATTTTACTGACTTATAACATTACATGATATTCATAGATTGTGTTTTACCATATCATATCGTATATGTATGTATAACAGAAATACTACTACAATTTATTAAAATTTCGGTGGTTTTTGATGTTGGGTAATTTAATTAAACAAGCGGATAAGCAAACTAATAATACTACAATAAAACACAGCAAAGAGAGGAACATAAACAAATGTAGCAACTTCAAAGTCAGCGATTATGCGTCTCTGATTAGGAATTAATTGTTATTTAAAATGTTAACCGCCGGCTTGAATTGAGGTTCTGACAAAAAGTTGGATAGGATTTTACTCACATAGCTGCCCGCACTTAATTAATAGACTACTTTAATGATCCTATTCCTGGCCTTTTTCTTTTTCATTTTACTACTAATACTATTTTGCTGCACCTGCAACATTGCTTGGAGGTTGAGGAAAGTAGCTTCAAATTTCGAATAATCAAAAATTTGGATTAAAAACATTGAATTCAAAATGAGGCAGGCGGGCGCGCCCGGTTATTATCACTGTCGGCGATTCACATGCAAAACCTCGCAATGTGCAGCCTACCCACTATATTTATTTTACTCGCCTCTCAGTAAATTATTCAAAGCATCATTTGTAGTAGGACGTACAGTTTCCATTACCGTTAAAAGAAAAGATAATAGTAGCTTTTTACTGCTCCAATTTCAATTTTGTTTCAATGTGATAAACTCGGGTTAATTTGGTCGCCTGTTCAGACTTCAACCGGGTTATCCAGAATTCCAGAGTTAGTATAATAAAAGGAAAAAGAAAAAAAGAAAAACCTCAAGTACGGAATATTGTGAGATTTCCTAGGAAGGAGGAGGATACTTTCTCTCCTTCACTGAGACATCATTACTGATTACAACAGACAGGTACGGTCTTGACTCTCGAGCTCTGCTCCTTCCTGGCCCCACTTTTCTGTAAGTTTCTTTATCCTTTTGCTCATTTTTTTTTTACTGCTTAATGTTTTACAGTCTGGGAGTAATTCTTCGTACTAGTAAAATCATTTTTGGAAGATTACACACCGTTTATAAGTTGGGGTGTCAAATGTCACGATAGTTTGTAGGGAGCCTAGGAAGAAACTGCAGAGGAAATTAAAACAGGTCTTTTCATTTACTTGTCGGATGAATAATTTCGCCAATGATGGTTTTGCAATTAGTTTTGTTTTCAAATAATATTTCAATAATTTTGTTGGGGGACTAAATCCGGTGAATTCAACTAATGAAGTACGTAATTTATAGAGTTTTGTGACCAGCAACTAAAGAAATAAATATTAGGATTTCTATAATTCACAACTTCGTGAGAGTTGATTATTGAATTTCTATTTACGTAAAGTATTGTTAAATTATTTCAATCTCTAAATTCACAACAAATACCCTACTCGTTGTATGCATTCAGTAACAACGTTTATGTTCTAAAAGACTCCTATTGATAGCCAATAATCTTATCGACGATCACTCATGTTGAACGTTGATATTGGAGGATAATCATGATTTTTGGCATTTAATATCAATGTCTAGCCTATCTTGAATTAGTAAATTAATACTTCCCCATGTCCTCAATATAAGACATTTTGATTTGCAATAAATTTTAACTAGTACGCATTTCCAATTGACAAAAAAACCTTAAAAATATTCCATAACAATTAAGAAAACACAACGAATGTGAAAAATATATTTTTAAGATTTTTTCATCAATTGAAAATATATATTAGGTGAAATCTATAATAAATCAAAATGACTTATATTAAGGATAAGATGGAGTATTATTGTGCGTTTGTTTGCTCAGTTTACAAAATATTCAGACGTTATTGAGCAGTATAGGACGATTTTCTTAAAAAACAAAATTGGATTTACTCTAATTGTCCATTTCGTCGTAAAATAGGGATAAAAATATAATTCAGTTTGCAGATAGCGCGTACTAACGGAAAGATGGCAAAATGGTTCTGCAGATTTTCATGAGTTTGGTGTAATTTCGTGAAAAAATAAGTTGAAATTGAAACAAACATACCCTCAGGCATACCATGTGAAATTGTGAGTTTCAAACTTTACGAAATTACTGAATTCCGTCCAAAAATCAATAATTCGATTGAAAAAAATTTATAAATGAGGAGCCTCCATTAGTTGAAAATTCGTTCATTAAAAATGGTGAAACACATCCCCTGACGAGGGGCATTTTCCCCTCCTTTTGTTGGATACAAAATGCCAAATGGGAGTATTACGCCAAAAACCTAATTCAACCATTATAATCTCTCCACCAAAAAAAAAAAATTACATTAAATTTTAATTTTATAATATTATTTTCAATACAAATCTTAAAATTCTATATGATTATTTTTTTTTAGTTTTTTTGTCGAAATGAAAAGAATATTAATCTACTTAATCTAGATATTCTTTACTAACGCGAGTAAATATTTATTCATAATAATCAAAGATGCGGTATAATATGTGGCAAAATTACAATCTCTATACAAGTGAGGGAGTTTCATTCACTGTCAATTCCGATTCACTTCCCTTGGAAGCTTTAAACTAATTTATATAGGTAGATCGTACCAATTTTTAATTTTAATTTTTTTAAAAAGGTATAAAAAAATATAAGGGAATAGATTAACGGGCTTCATGGGGTTTTGTTGTAAACACGGATGCGTTGGTTGTGGGCTGAGACAGTAAAAAGAAAAACTAAGAAGAGGACGCCTGCAAAGTCACATGCAAATTGCAAATCGTTGAATAAATCGTTG